GAGGAGGAGGAGAGGGGAGGAGGAAGGAGGCGGAGGAGGAGGAGGAGGAGGAGGAGGAGGAGGAGGAGGAGGAGGAGCAGGAGCAGGAGGAGGGGAGGAGGAGGAAGAGGAAGAGGATGAGGAGGAGGAAGAGGAGGAGAAGGAGGAGGAGGAGGAGGAGGAGGGAGGAAAAAGGACGAGGTGGAGGAGGGGGGAGGAGGAGGAGGGTGGGAGGAAGGAGGAGGGAGGGAGGAGGAGGATGAGGAGGAGGAAGGGAGAGGAGGAGGAAGAGGAGGAGGGAGGAAGGGAGGAGGAGGAGGACGAGGAGGAGGAGGCGGAGCAGGAGGGAGGAGGAGGTGGAGCAGGAGCAGGAGGAGGAGGAGGAGGAGGAGGAGGAGGAAGAGGAGGAGGAGGAAGAGGAGGAGGAGGAAGAGGAGGAGGAGGAGGAGGAGCATTCCTTGTGGGCCACGCTGCAGATCGTGGTGCCTGCCACGATGCCCCACCCCCCTCTGAAGCAGCGGCCGCCTGAAAGGCGGCGCGCTTTGCCAGAGCAGGGGCTGCGTCAGGGTGTAGGCCTCCATAATGAATGCCTTGTCCAGTGCCCTACCAGGAAACTGGCAACACACATGGCTGGATCCACATGTGGAACACGCGGGGCCCACCTGCTGGATACACATGTCGAGGATACACATGTGGAGAATCATCGTGCATGGCCACAGGAGGGCCTGAGCGCTGGAAAGACTTGTGGCCACGTGTGTCTCCAGCTCCCGCCTTGGCCAGCTGCGTCTTGCGAGTATTCAACTTCCCTGTGGCACTTCCCTCGCCTCCTTCTCGCACTCTTCCCCTTCGTTCTCAACCTCTTCCCGTTCTCCGCAGGCGCCGCGCCCTCGTCCAATCGAGCACGCCAGTCTAGCACGACCGAGGACAAGAGACAACGGTGGCCAAGACAACCGAGGCCCAAACAGCCGAGGTCGAGGCATCCGTGGCGGTACACTATGCGTCCTCCACCCTGTGCGCGGCGCCGATGCTGTCGCGTCGGTGATGAAGGTTTTGGAAGGAGTTCGGCATGCGCGCGCGGCCGACGTGCGAGAATAGCCGCATGGCATTATTTGAAGCGGATCGCGCCCCCCCCCCAGCACGCGCGCAAGGGCGTTTGAATGATTTCGGTCTGCGGCGCGAGAGACCCGTCTGGAAGAATTGCATGATCATGTTGAAGAGCTTCTGGTTTCGTTAAGACTTCGCAAGTGCACGAGCGCAGGCTGTTTGGAAAACTGATGTTGCGAAACAATCAGGTTTTATTTGTTTTTGGACACTCGGTTTTGACATCCTTACGAAACCTAGACTTTTTTTGACGGATTCCGGCATGCGCGCCCGACGACGCGCGCGCGTGCATGTCGTCCCATTTGTTGCAATGGATGTTGCGACAGCGCGCGCGCAAGGGCGTTGGAACGATTTCGAAATGCGCGCGCGCGAAACCCGTTTGGTAACATTCCAGGACCATGTTAAACAACACCGCTGGTTCACCTAAGAATTCGCAAGTGCGCGCGCGCATTTTTTTTTTAAATTGATGCTGCGAAGCCATTGTGTACACATCTCTGGGGCACTCGATTTTTAAATCCTAACGGGACCCCCGGTTTTTGATTGATTTCGGCACGCCCGCGCGCGACGACGCGTGGTCGTGCACTTCGTGTTTTTTTCGGCAACGGATTATTGAAAATTGCCGATTGATGATAAATCAGCGCGCGCGCAAACATTCTGTTACAGTGGATGGCGGGGGTTGTTGGTGCCGGCCCGGTTGCGATGGTGTGAATTCATCCTAAGGATGGGCGATGGGGCACAATCGTGTGCAAATTCCAATGCGAAAAGGGGAGCGGATCATCCCGGGGGGGGGTCGAATCTAGTGTTTCATAAAAGAGAATTTGTGAAACTCGCAGATGTCGGCTCCACTGCTCGCGCAACCATCCCACTCGCCCATCCGCAACTTGTCTTGCAAAACACGCGCGACGGCGACTGCCATCAGTGCTTGGCGTTGGCTGGTGCATCTGCGGCCGCGACAGCCCGCGCGTGCACTTGCGCGCGGCGACCAGCTAGTTCGGCGCGACCGGCGCGGCCGCGGCGGCGCTGAGCGCTGGGCGCGCCCCAGCGGGCGCATCGGAGCGAGTCGGCGACTCGGGTGGGCGCGGTACCTTGGCAACGTCGACGACGGTAGACGCGATGATCGTAGTGGCAATGCTGGCGGCGACGTTGGCGACGGCGCGGCCAACATATAGCCATATCTACCGCCCGCTGGGGCATTAGGGCGTCTGTTCCAAATCGGTGGATCTGCATAATCCCCGCCTCGCAACTACGACTACTGCGACGACTACGACGTCGACGAGTATTACTTTTAGTTTTACTACTACTGCTACTACTACTACTACTACTACTACTACTACTACTACTACTACTACTACTACTACTACTACTACTACTACTACTACCTACTACTACTACTACTACTACTACTACTACTACTACTACTACTACTACTACTACTACTACTACTACTACTACTTACTACTACTACTACTACTACTACTAGTACTACTACTAGTACTATTAGTACTTAGTACTACTAGTACTACTAGTACTACTAGTACTACTAGTACTACTACTACTACTATTATTATTAACGCTACTACAACAACAACAACAACTACTACTACTATTGCTTTTACTATTACCATTACTACTACTACTACTACTATTACGACTACTACTTCCACTACTACTACTGCTGCTACGACCACTACTACGACTACTATTACTACTACTACTACTACTACCACTACTACTACTACTACTACTACTGCTACTACTACTACTACTACCCCTATTACTAGTAGTAGTAGTAGTGGTAGTAGTAGTAGTAGTAGTACTAGTAGTAGTAGCAGTAGTAGTAGTAGTAGTAATAGTAGTAGTGGTAGTAGTAGTAGTAGTAGTAGTAGTAGTAGTAGTACCAGTAGTAGTTACAGTAGTAGTTGTTGTAGTACCACCAGCATTACTACGACTACTACTACTGCTACTTCTGCTACTACTACTACTACTACTAGTACTACTACGAGTACGTAGTTCTACTGCGGCAACTAATAATTTTACTACTCTTGCTACTACTACTATCAATATTTGTACTACTACTATTACAGTTGCTTCTACGACCTACTACTACCACTACTACTACTACTACTACCACTACTACTACTACTACTACTACTACTTCTTCTACTACTACTACTATTACTACTACTTCTACTACTACTACTACTACAACAACAACTACTACTACTACTACTATTACTATTACCATTGCTGATACGGCTACTGCTACTACTGTCTGCTGTTACTGTTGCGTTAACGATGTTAATTTACATGAGTAGTACTACTTCTACTACTTCTGCTGCTGCTAGTACTACCACTACTACTAGTACTTCTCAATAGTCATGTGCCGAATAACTGTTAGAATGTCAGATTATCATTACGATGACCATGTTTGTAGTTTTCGGTGAAAAATGTTAGATGTATATTACAACAACGACGCCTACTATCACTACTGCTACCACTACCGGTACTACTACTACCACTACTATTGCTACTACTTCTTCTTCTACTACTTCTACTACCACTTGTATTTCTACTACTACTATTACGACTACTACGCCTACGACGACGACTACGAGTACGACTACGACTACGACTACGACTACTACTACTGCTGTCACTACTACTACTACTACTACTACTACCACAAATACTACTGCTAGTAGCAGTCGTAGTAGTAGTAGTAGAAGTAGTAGTAGTAGTAGTAGTAGTAGTAGTAGTAGTAGTAGTAGCAGTAGTAGTAGTAGTACTACCACTACTACTACTATTACTACTACTACTACTACTACTACTCCTACTACCACTACGAGTTCTAGTACTAGTACTAGTACTGATTCTACTACCACTACTACTACGACTACTGCCACTACTACTACTACTACTACTACTACTACTACTACTACTACTACTACTACTACTACTATATAATTGCTGATACTACTTATATTTATTATTAGTAGTAGTTAGTAGTACGTAGTAGTAGTAGTAGTAGTAGTAGTAGTAGTAGTAGTAGTAGTAGTAGTAGTAGTAGTAGTAGTAGTAGTAGTAGTAGTAGGAGTAGTAGTACTACTGCTACTCCTACTTCTACTACTACTGCTACTACTACTACTACAACAACAACTACTACTACTACTATTGCTACTACTACTACTACTACTATTACTACTACTACTACTACTACTACTACTACTACCACTTCCACTGCCATTGCCACTACCACTGCCACTATCACTACCGCTACCACTACCATTACCACTACCATTACCACTACCACTACCACTACCACTACCACTACCACTCCCACTACCATTACCACTACCACTACTACTACTATTACCACTACCACTAGCACTACCGCTACCACTACCACTACTACTACGACTACCACTACTACCGTCCAGCCCGAAGGAGGGGCGCCTGTTTCGGATAGGCAGGCGGAGTGTTTGGGAGGATGGGGCGCGGTGTGAACAACAGTGGGCCTTCTGTGCCGCGTCCACCCGCCCGCGCTGCTTCATTGCTCCGCCCGCTTCCTGCTTTTGCATTCACCCTGTCGCGCCCGTGTGCCCACCCTGCATGTCCGCCATCTGTCTGCGGCGAAATCCGAACTCCACCCCCGACGATCCATTCAGACAACTCGATGGGCGGCGGGGGTAGGGTTCGCAATTCGTGGAACACGCGGCGACATCGGGACCCTGCCCCCGCCTCCCATCGATTGAGGGGAATCGATGGTTGGTGGGCGTAGGGTTGGAGGTTTTTCACAGCGTTGAGCCCCCTGGGTCTTCCATGGGCCCCTGGGCCGTCGAACAATTGTTCGGGTGGGGGAGCTGTTCCTGAGACGAGGCTTCGGGCCCAGGGCCCCGTTTCCACCCGGACCCCTTCCTTTC